GGCGGCATGGGCTTCGTCGAGGAGACCGGGGCGGCGCAGCACTACCGCGACGCCCGGATCGCGCCGATCTACGAGGGGACCAACGGCATCCAGGCGCTCGACCTGGTCAACCGCAAGGTCATCCGCCACAAGGGCTTTCCCGCCCGCGCCTTCGCCGCCACGGTGCGCCGGGAGGTCGAAGCCCTGGAAGCCCTGCCGGGCGAGTCCTTCGCCGGCCTGCGCTGCGGCCTGCTCGCCGGCGCCGAGGCCCTGGAGCAGGCGACCGACTGGCTCTGCGAGGTCTGGGCCGACAGCCCGCGCCTCGCCGCCGCCGGCGCCGCGCCCTACCTGCGGCTGCTCGGCACGCTGGGCGGCGGCTGGGCCCTGGCCCGCCAGGCCGGCGCGGCGGCGCGCCAGCTCGCCGCCGCCAACGGCGACGCCAGCTTCCTGGACGGCAAGATCAAGACGGCGCGCTTCTACGCCGAAAACATTCTGCCCCAGGCCAGCGCCGCCGCCGTCGCCACGACACGCGGCGCCGAGACCACGCTGGAGCTGGACGACGCCCAGTTCTGAGGTCTGCCGGGGCGTGAGCTTGCCGGGGCCTGAGCTTGCCGGGGTGTGAGCTTGCCGGGGCCTGACTTTGCCGGGGCCTGACTTTGCCGGGGGCTGCGTCCGGCCGGCCGGCGAGCCCCCGAGGCGGCCTCCCGGCTTGCTCGCCGCGCAAAAGAAATCCCGGCTTCGTCAGGGAGCACGAAGCCGGGCCAGAGGGATTGGGAGGGTCGCTATCGATGGTTGGACTTTAGACGGTCCGCCACACCGTCTCCTTGACCTGCATCAAATTCCCCCACTCCCTGCCGTTCTTCTCGCTCGGCCGGCGCCTCGCCCTACTTGCCCTTGACCGGGATCTTCTTGCTCTCCGCTTTGGCCTCCGGCTTCTTGGGCAGGGTGACGTGGAGCACGCCCTTGTCGAACCTGGCTTCGATCTTGTCGGTGTCGATGCTGTCGGGCACGCCGAAGGAGCGCTGGAAGCTGCCGTAGGTCCGCTCGGAGCGATAGTAGTCCTTCTTCTTCTCCTCGCTCTCCTGCTTCTTCTCGCCCTTGATGGTCAGCATGCCGCCGGTCAGCTCGATGTCGACGTCCTCCTCGCCGACGCCGGGCATCTCGGCCGTGATCTCGATCGCGTCGGGGGTCTCGGAGATGTCCATCTTCACGTCGATCAGGCCGGAGCCGGCGACGCTGAAGTAGCTGGGCACGCGGCCCCACTCCTCGGCCGCCCGGCCGAGCGGCCAGCGCCGGCCGCTGAAGACGTCGTCGAACAGGCGGTCGACGTCCTCGCGCAGGCGGGCCAGGGGATAGAACATGCCGGTGGCGGGCACCTCGCCGCCCTTGGCGGCCTCCGTCTGCGAACGCTCGGGTTTCTGCTCTTGCGCCATGGTCGTGCCTTTCCTCGCAACGGTTTCGCGGCAGCCCTGTCGCCCCTCGACCGGCGAGCCTAGAGCGATTTGCGACCGTATGGAACCGGGCAGCGGGTCCGCCGGTCGCGAGAAATCGGCCTCACTCTAATGTGTTAGAGCAGAGTCCGCCGCCCGCCGCGCCGGCCCAACCTTCCAGCGCAAACAACTTCGTGAAGCGACGTGATTCGCCTCTTGTCCGGGGCGCTGCGCATCCTCTCGGTCGCGGATCACGCGGAAAGCGGGCCGCGCGCCCGGGCCACGCGCCCGGCGCCCCCGAGGTTTCACAAGACAGGAGACTGCGCTGATGATCGAGAAGAAGCTGACCGCCGCCACCGCCGCGCTCGCCCTGGCCGGGGCGGTGGCCGCCACCGGCCTGGCGCTGCCCCCCGGCGCCGAAGCGGCCGAGACCAAGTGCTACGGCGTCGCCAAGGCCGGCGAGAACGACTGCGCCAACACGGCCGGCACCCATTCCTGCGCCGGACAATCCAGCGTCGACTATCACGGCGGCGACTGGAAGGCCGTGGAGTCCGCCGAGGACTGCATGGAGATGGGCGGCCAGACCGAGCCCTTCGAGGGCGTCAACGAGAAGAAGGCCGGTTAGCGCCTCCGGCGACCTGGGGGGCGCGCGCCGGGCCCTCCAGGTCGACCGCGCGGGGGAGACCGCGATCATGACCGTCTGCGCGCCCACAGACCCGACGGTGCCGCCCGGCACCCGCGACGCGACGCGGGGCCCGGCCGCCGTTCCCGCCGCCGTTCCCACCGCCGTTCCCACCGCCGCGGGGATCGGCCTGCGCCCGTCCCACCTGCCGGACTTTCTGCACGGCGCGCCGGAGGTGGCCTGGCTGGAGGTTCACGCGGAAAACTACCTGGCGGCCGGCGGACCGCGCCGCCGGGCGCTGGAGCGCCTGCGCGCCGACTACCCGTTGTCCTGCCACGGCGTCGGCCTCTCGCTCGGCTCGGCGGAGGGGCTGAGCACGGCGCATCTGACCCGCCTGGCCGCGCTCTACGACGCGCTCGAGCCCGGGCTGATCTCCGAGCATGTCGCCTGGTCGGTCAGCCAGGGCAGCTATCTCAACGACCTGCTGCCCCTGCCCTACACCGAGGAGGCGCTGGCCGTGCTCTGCCGCAACATCGCGCAGGCGCAGGAGGTCTTCGGCCGCCGCATCCTGATCGAGAACCCTTCGAGCTACCTGCAGTTCGACGCGGCCGAGATGGACGAGCCCGCGTTCCTCGCCGAGGCCGTGCGGCGCAGCGGCTGCGGCCTGCTGCTCGACGTCAACAACGTCGTGGTCAGCGCCGCCAACCACGGCTTCCACCCGCTGGCCTACCTGGAGGCCCTCCCGCACGCCGCGGTCGGTGAGATCCACGTGGCCGGCCATGCCGCGATCGAGATCGAGGGGCACCGCCTGCTGATCGACGACCACGGCAGCCGCGTGCCGGCCGCCGTGTGGGAGCTGCTGCGGGCCGCCCTGGCGCGCTGCGGCCCGGTGCCGGTCCTGGTCGAGTGGGACAGGGCGCTGCCCGCGCTGGACGTCCTGCTGGCCGAGGCGGCCAAGGCGCAGACGGCCCTGGACTCCCTCGCCGCGGCACCGCCGCTGAGCGGAGAGACGGCACGCCATGCTGGCTGAGATGCAAAGCGCCTTCCGCCAGGCCGTGCTGGGCGGCGAGCCCGACCCCGCCCTGGCGCACATCGCGCCCCGCGGCCTGCCGGCGGCGCTGCGCCTGTCGGTCTACCGCAACAACGTGCTGGGCTCCCTGACCGAGGTGCTGGCCGCCGCCTATCCGGCCCTGGAGCGGCTGCTGGGCGCGCACAACTTCGGCCTGCTGGCGCGCGCCTTCGTCGCCGCCCAGCCGCCGCGCCGCCCCCAGCTCTCGTGCTACGGCGCGGCCTTGGCGGACTTCCTGGCCGACTTCCCGCACACCGCCGGCTATCCCTTCCTGCCCGACCTGGCGCGGCTGGAGTGGGCGCGCAACGCGGCGCTCTTCGCCGCCGACGCGCCGGTCCTGACCGGCGCCGTCCTGCAGGGCCTGCCCGCGGCGCGCCTCGCCGCGCTCAGACTGCCCTGGCATCCGGCCACCCGGCTGATCGAAAGCGCCTACGCCATCGACCGGCTCTGGCGCGCGCCGGCGCTGCGCCGCGGCGTCGCCGCCGGCGCGCAGTCCGTGCTGGTCACCCGCAGCGCCACGGGCGGCCTGCGCCAGCGCC